AATGCATCACACAGGGTGTGCTCTTATTTCTGGGTTCTTTCACCACATTCCTTTGTATCTAGATTCTTCCTGTCAGCAAAATGCCTTTGAGTTTTATCTGTACTGTTGCAAGTATCGTTAGCCATTCCTAGCTACTGATGAATAGTAGTCCACTGATTGTGCCACAATTTGCATACCTGTTTTCCTGTGTTTATTTTTTTTTAAATATATTTTTATTGATTTTTCAGAGAGGAAGGGAGAGGGAAAGAGAGAGAGAGAAACATCAATGATGTGAGAGAATCATTGATCGGCTACCTGCTGCACGCCCCCTACCAGGGATCAAGCCCACAACCCGGGCATGTGCCCTTGACTGTAATTGAACTCAGAACTTTTCAGTCCGTAGGTCAGCGCTTTATCCACTAAGCCAAACCGGCTAGGGCAGCCGTGGGCAAACTACGGCCTGCGGGCCGGATCTGGCCAGTTTGAAATGAAAAAAACTAAAAAAAAAAAAAAAAAAGACCGTACCCTTACCCTTTTATTTAATGATGTTTACTTTGAATTTATATTAGTTCACACAAGCACTCCATCCATGCTTTTGTTCCGGCCCTCCGGTCCAGTTTAAGAACCCATTGTGGCCCTCGAGTCAAAAAGTTTGCCCACCCCTGGGCTAGGGCCTGTTTTCCTGTTGATGGACATGAAATTTGGGTTGTTTTCTGCTTTGGGCTATTATGGATAAAGCTGCTGTAGGATTCTGGTGAAGACTTTTTTTTGACATATGTTTTTATTTCTTTTGGTTAAGTACTTAGGGCTTGGAATTGTTGGGTCTTAGAGTAGATTTATGTATTACAAATTGCCAAGCTTTTTTATGTATAAGATTACCAGACTTTTTTGTAATGTGTAAGAAAATTTTATGTATAGGAATGCCACTTTTTTAATGTGTAAGAAAATTTTATGTATAAAAAATGGCCAAACTTTTTTTTTTTTTTAAAGAATGATTGCACTATCTTATACTCCTCTCATCAAATATTCGGGTTGCTCTATATCCTGACCAACATTTGATGTCATTAGTCTTTTGAATTGTAGCTGTTCTCCTGTGTGGTGGTAATGGTAGCTCATGGTGGTTTTGATTTGCATTTTCTGATGGCCAGTAATGTTAAGTACTTTTTAATGTGCTTATTAGTCATTTGCATATCTTCTTTTTGAAGTATCACTTAAATCTTTTGCCTTTTTAAAAATAATGAGTTGTTTTTTTCATTATTCCTGAATTGTAGGAGTTCTTTATGTATTCTGGATACCTTTACTTTTTCTGATACATGTTTTGCAAATACTTTCTCCCAGTCAGTGGCTTGCTTTTTCATTTTGTTAATATCTTTTAGTGACCAGAAATTTCTTATTTTAATGAAATATAATTGATCCATTTTTTATTTTGTAGTTGTTGTTTTCTTTTTTTATTTCTTAAGACTTTTCATACTTCAGGTTATGGAGATATTCTTTCTTTCCTTCTGGCTGTATTTTGGTTTTAGCTTTTACATTCAGGTCTATGATCCATCCTAATTAATTTTTGAGTAACAGATGAGGTATGGGTTGAGGTTCATTTTATTTTCCCATAGGGATAGCAAGTTGTTTTTTGTGAAAAGACTTTCTTTTCTCATTGGATTATTTTGATGTTTTTGTCAGAAATCAATTGCTTATAAAGTGTTAGGTCTATTTCTGGACCCATCTCTTCTGTTGATCTATTTGTGTGTCTTTATAGCAATACCATACTATCTTGATTGCTGTAGCTCTATAGTCAATTTGAAGTCATTTTTTTTTCTTCTTTTCAAGATTGTGTGGCTATTTTAGGTCCTTAATATTTCCATATAAATTTTAGAATAAGCTTGTCAAATTTTATTTATTTATATATACTGATTATTTACAAATTAATTATTAAAATGCCTGATGGGATTATGATTGGGGTTGCATTAAGTCTATAGATCAATTTGGATAACTGGATATCTTTTTTAAAATTGATTTTAGAGAGAAAGAGAGAAAAAGAGAGAAACATTGATTTGTTGTTCCACTTATTTATATATTCATTGGTTGCTTGTATGTACCCTGACTGAGGATCAAACCTGCAACCTTGGCACATTGAGGCAACATTCTAACCAACTGAGCTACCCTGCCAGGGCTGTTAGGTAGATATTTTAGCAATAGTGAACCTTGCAATCCCTGAACATGCTACACCTCTACTTTCTGCTTGGCAGTAGACTGGCCTTTAAATGGAATACTATTGTTGAAATAATCATGTCAGGTGCTTAGCACACTTAACCTATATAACAATCTACACTGTAACGTCAGCATTTATTATTAATTCCATTGATCTGAACAAAGCTTTATAAAGTACTTTCCATTTGTATCTTTATTTAATTCAGCTTGGAGTTTGACCATGGCTGAACAGTCAGTGAATGGCTGGGTAGGGTTTGGAATGAGGTCATTGCGACTCCCAAGGCCATGTTGGGGCATGCATGTCACTGAAGGCCACTTTGGTGAGGCTGGAATGGCATTCCGCTACATTTGGCATGGTCTTATTGATTGGTTAAGGTTAGGATTTATTCTGAATGGTTTCAGGAACACAGGAATTCAATGAGGGCATGTTAGTTCACAGTGAAGGGACCCAGGTCACTCATTACCTAGAGATAAGGTAGCTTGGGAAGGGGCCAGAGTGAGTGTGGGACTCACAGATGGAGAAATTACCAGACATTTTGGGGAGTCATAAAATGTTTCCCCTGCATATTTTTATGTTAATTTGTAGATTTTCTCTCCTGGCAATAATACAAGAGCACAACTTCATGAGAATTTAATCCACTTTGTAAACACACAGCTAGTCTGAAACTAATCAGTGATTGTTCCCCCTTTTTCTATGTATTTTAATCTATTATAACATGGACTCTAGGCACAGAGCAAGTTTGCACTGTGTCTTTGCCACTTACCAGCAGTATGAATGACCTTGGGTAAGGTACTGTTAACCTCTTTCCGCAACGTTTTCTCACCTGTGGATTCAGAAAACTATAATTCCTACTTAATAGTGTTATTTTAAGGTGTTCTTTTAAAGTAATCTTTTATGCTACTACAGGTGAAGTGCTTAACACATGGTGTACAAATACTCAAAATTATTACCTTCTTTATATGCACACACGTTCATACACACCTTCATTGCAAAGAGAGATGCCAGAGAAGTGAGGGGGTGGGGAGCAGGGGAATATAGATGCACACATAAAGTACACACCTCTGCTCATGTTCTAAAGAAGTCAGAATCCTTACACATGCTGCCGACAGCATGAGTGAGACCAGAGGCCCTGCCCCTCCGCTGACCAGCTCAAAGCAGATTGTTTAAATGTAGGATGAGCTTTACCACTTTTCTCTAATGGACACAGCGGTCACAGAGGGTTGCAGGAAAGCGTGCTGACCTTTAAGATACTGTGGATATTACAGTTGTGGCTGGGAAGGGGAGGGTGTCTGGTGATGATAAAGTAACAGCAGTCCTTGCCTCCTGCACAGACTTTGCGTTCATTAGCTCCGACATTGCCATTGAGATGTTATTGGCTGTTGTACGTTGGGGTCCATTTTCGGCAGTGTCCTGAGGACGAGCCACATGGAAAATGAAGTCCCGTTTCTGTCCGGCACGTCCGGCTGCGCCAGCTGGAGGCCTCTCGCTTCTGCGCACGGCCGCGCAGGAACACAGAGCAGGGCAGAGCCACATCTGGTCCTTTCGGAGTGTCATTACTGTGCCTCCGCTGAGGCCACTCTTCGCAGAGTTCCTGCCTGCTGCATCGAACCCTGTGGTGACAGCAGACTTGCCTGGGAAGACAGTGTCATTTGGCTCTCACTCCACACCTCGGGCAGGGGGAGCGAGGCTGCACAGTTCCTGCTAATTACTCGCAGCCTCTGTCCTTGGAACAAAAGCAAGGTTGGGCCACAGCAGCCTGCTGCCCTGGCTAACAGCGCCCTCCCACAGGGCCCCCAACACCTGCTTCAAGCGGGTCTGTCTCTCAGAGCACCTTGTGTCACAGAAGAGGCAGCGGGCAGAGCATGGTCTGCATCTTCGGGCTACACCTGCATGAGAACACTGTATAACACTGTATAGAATTGTTAGAATAGGGCTTTGGCTCCCAAGGCAAGCAAGTTTTGGTTTTATTTTATCGTGTGACATCACCAGCTGAGGGTCAAAGAACACGTGCTCTTCCCCATTCCTCTTCCATCTGCTCTGCCCCGTGATTCACATGTTAACCTCTGTCCAGGTGTCTGTCTCTGCAGAAGTCATTCATCCAGGGAAGGTGCTGATATGCGTGACGGTCGTGTTTCAGACTGTAAGGAAATGGGTGGGTACCTGGAGCTCAGCTGTGCTGCAGGCTCTCTGACCACAAGTGTCTTGGAAATCAGAACATGCGTGTGCCCGGCTTGTGATGGGCCCTTGGTGGCCAGGTTCCTCTTAGGTGGCTTTGAGCTGGTCAGCGGAGGGACAGGGCCTCTGGTCTCATTCACGCTATTGGTAGCACATGTAAGGATTTTGACTTATTTAGAGCATGATTAGAAATGTTCACTCTGTGTGTGCATCCATATTCACCTGCTCCCCAACCCCTCACTTCATCAGCTCTCTCTGCTCCCCACACTCATCGTCCTGTCTGGGCCATTTCTGGGCTCTCCTTTCTTAGACCGCACCCATCCTCATTTTCCATTTCCCTTGCTGTTAGCTTCATCTGCCTCCTTAGCAGTCTCTCCATCAGCGATGGGGTGGGTATCCAGGTTCACCCCAGTCCTCTCCCGCTTTTTCAGAGCACCCACATGTTTTTCTGTCTCTGGGATGCAGGTGCACTGCCCTGGCTTTCAGCCAGACGTCTGGGTTAGCAATGCCAGTGCTTCCTCCACCAGGGGCTCCGGTTCTTAGCTGTGAGGCGACCTTCATGCAGCAGCAACCCTGCAGAGTCCCGACGTCTTGTCCTGTATCAGTATAGAGTAACTTAAAATCCATTAAATTTTTTCAGGATATATTGAAAATGGATATGTGAAGCTCATTGTGATACATTTTCAAAATAGCACAGAGCATCTGCCACTGATTGGCAAAGTGGGCCTTTCCTGGAGAACTGATGTCTTTGATGGCTGCATAAAGGTAAGGGCTGCTTTCTTTCCTTAAAGTGCCCTGGTCTCTGTATAGTAAAAATGTCTGTTGATGTGTATGTACGATATTGCTTTTAAAGTCCTAGATTTATTGTTCTGCTGCCGAAGGTGTGTGCATGTCCTTTAGCCACTGCCTTTATCAGCGTTCCCCGAGCGAGGTGGAGGAGGCCCTGCTGCGAGGTGCTGGTTGCACCGTGTGTCCCTCCAACCCCTTCGGTCTGTTTGTTCTGTGGAGAAAGAGTGGAGCTGCAGGTTGGACCAGGCAAATAACATTGACTCAAAGCATCTTAACTACTCACCCACCAACTCAAAATTTATTGCAGTTATGACTTCCAGGACACAGCTATTTCTTTGAGCAGTTAAATCAACTTAAATCTCTATCAAAACTTAGCCACATGGATGGGAGAGTTGATTTAGTGGTTGGGAGTTGGCAGGGAAGGGGAGGGTGTCTGGAGGGAGAGGAGGAGCAGGAGCGGGATGCTCTAGCATATGTTCATTTCCTTCTGTGGTCCTTATGACCATGGCTGCCCCTGTGACCATGGCTGCCCCTGGTTTGTGCTACTCTCCATCTTTATTTTGTGGGAGTGAATAGGATGTTTATATTCAGTGGGATGGATCTCCTGTGAATGCAGAGGTCCTCCAATAACAAAGCTTTATTCTGCCGTACGTGTGTGGACACCTTGTTGGAACTATCAGTGATGATGACTGAGACCAAGAGCAGTATTATCATCAATGAACATTAAAAGGACTTAATTATCATTAAATACAGTTGACCCTTGAACAATGCAGAAGTTGGGGTGCTAAGTCCCCAGTGCAGTTGAAAATCTACATATAACTTTTGACTTCTAAAACTTACTACTCATAGCCTACTGTTGTCTGGCAGTCTTACTGAAAACATATATAGTGGATTAACACATTTTGTGTATAGTATATATATTATGTACTGAATTTTTGCAATAACGTAAGCTGGAGAGTGTTATAAAGAAAATCATAAGGGCAAGAAATACATTTACAGTAATTATTGAAGAAAATCACATGTAAGTGGACCCGTGCAGTGTAGACCTATGCTGTTCAAGGTCAACTGCATTATCTCTTGAGCCACTTGTAATTTGGTATAATGGAGTTGTTTTAAAGATCGTTTATTACATACAAAGGAATATTAAAGACCACAGACATGACTTGTAAAAAAATGGATTTAGATGGGTCCATTGTACTTCTGGCACCAGTGCCCGGGTGTCATGTCCCTGTCCTGGGTGAGACAAGGCTCCCTGCTGTGTGCAGAACGAGCTGGCACAGAGCAGGGGGCATTGGGCCGGCTGGCAGCTCCTACAGGGATAACCCCGTGGTAAAGAGCTTGGGTTTTGGTGCACGTGTTTGTGGGAAGTTACTGAAGGTTTCATATGCCCCCTGTGTGCTAGGCCAGTGTGTAGCCCATGGAGGGATTGGAGAATGCTCGACTTGAGAAGGGCAGGGCTTTGCAGATAGCCAGCTCACAGGTCTTTAGCTGGCGGCTGGGGGGCAAAAGCAGAAAGTAAGTCACCTGCTAAAGGGCATGGGCTTTTGGGCCCTTGACCTTTCCCTCCCAGTTTCCTTCTCTCTGCCTTGCCCGGGATGTCTCCCCCTGGCTCACGGTTCTAACTACATTTCTGTTCTGTGGGTTCAGCTGAGGCTTTAAGTAAGAAAACCAAGAGACCACCAGACCAGCAGTTCAATTGTGAAGGGTGAAGGTAAAGACAGGTTCGGTGGCTTCCAGAACCACCCACCACCTGTATTACTTGGGAACTGCCGTGGCCACACATGGTCCCCTCCTCAATCAGCCGTGCTGATGGCTGCTTATTCCAGCTCCGGCCACGAGATCAGACAGAGACATCTTCCAGCTCTCAGTACCAGCTCTGGTTCCAGGTCTCAGCTCAGTGAGGCTGCAGTGTGGATGGCCCTTATCCTTGTCTGTGAGCTGTGGTCCCTGTCATGCCAGAAGCAGAGAGGGTGATGATGTGGGCTGTCAGGCTGATGGGGGCTGCTCTGGGACCTGGACAGGCATCAGGACCAAGGTCCAGGCTCCAAAGGGGCTCCTGGAACCAATCGATGGACACCCTCTGCCATGGGTAGGGCTCTCAGTTCTGGTCTGCGTCTTTGCAGTCAGGGGTCAGGGGTATTTCACGGGGCCCATTCTTCACTCCGGTCTCCTCCACAGTGGGAACCAGTTCGCATCTCATTTTCCCTAAGTTTTGGAATGTTTGCATTATTTACATTTCTCTAAGATACACATTTTTTGAGTCAAGACCCTTTGACCTGCTCATCCTCAGATCCAAGTGGTCAGCACTGTCAACCCATTTAGCTGTGTACAGACTTCTGACAGCAAGTCTATGCCGATGTCTGTGATAACTCTGTAATTATGCTGTTATCTACGCTCAGTCCATGCTGATCTCTAATAATAGCATCTAAGTTGCAATTATTAACACACTAATACAGGGCATGAATTATGACAAATAATGAGCCATGTCTGAAAAGGTTAGTGTTTACCCTTGATATCAGTTCATTGTGTCTTGAGAATTGAATTATTGATTATTGCGAATGAATTTAAATATATATGCAAACTGCTGGGATCAGTCTCTGATATATAGAACATGTTAAAAAATACAGCTCACAGTGTACACACATGTTCTCAGCAGCATTATACACAATAGCTAGGAGGTAGAAGAAACCTAGGTGTCCGTTGGCAGGTGAGTGGATAAACATGCAAGGGAATAGTACTCTTCCTTAAAAAGGAAGGAAATTCTGGCACCTGCTATAGCATGGATGAGCCTTGAGGACATGATGTTAACTGAAATAAGCCAGACACAGAGGGGAGATACATTTGGATTCCACTTATATGAGTGACCTAGTGTAGTCATATCCACAAAGACAGGAAGTAGAAGGTTGGGTGTCAGGGGTTGGGGGAAGGGATTGGGAGTTGTTTAATGAATTTGGTCAAGAATTTCAGTTTTGCAAGATGAAAAGAGTTCTGGATGTGGGTGGTGGTGATGGTTGCAAAAAAATTGTTAATGTACTTAATGCCAATGAACTGTACATTTAAAAAGGGTTATGTTATTTGTATTTTAACACAATTAAAAATAAATTTAAAATGTAGCTCATTAATAACATTAGTAGATAGAGAATAGACTGACAGCTGTCAGAGGGGAGGGGAGTTGGGGAACTGGGTGAAAAAGGTGAAGGAATTAAGCAAAAAATTCTCCCAAACTGATAGACACAGACAACAGTGTGGTGATTATCAGAGGGGAAATGGGGGAAGGTAGAAGAAGGTAAAGGAGGGGGATAAGTAATAACAGAAGGTGACTTGACTTGGGGTAGTGAGCATCCTATCTAATAATAGACAAGCATGGTAATTGACCATACCTTCGCTACGCCTCTGATTGGCTAATCAGCGAGATATGCAAATTAACCACCAACAAAGATGGCGGTTAATTTGCATACGTAGGCAGGAAAGCGGCAGAGCGAAGGCAGCTCCGGCCAGAGCAGCGAAGGCTTGGCGGCTCCACCAGCTTGAAGGCGGCTCCGGCCAGAGCAGCAAAGGCTTGAAGGCGGCTCTGGCCGGAGCAGCGAAGACTGAAGGCGGCTCCGGCCGGAGCGAAGGCCTGGGTCCTGGGTGCTGGAGGAAAACCGCTGTCGGCAGCCAGGGGAAGGGAAGGCCTATTGCACGAATCTTTTTGTGCAACAGGCCTCTAGTACAATATAATATACAGATGATGTATTATAGAATTGTATCCCTGAAGCCTGTAAAATTTTATTAACCAATGTCACCCCAATAAATTCAATAAAGAGACAACAAAATAACATTAATAATTATCAGTATCTCCAGTTCTGTCTCCTGGCCCTGAGTTGAGTCCCTGTACAGCGATGCCCTTTAGATCCAGCATGTCTGAACCTGGCACTTTTCTTCTCCTCAAATTCTCCTCACGTCCAGATACCAACTTCTCAGTTTGTCTCATATTTCTCCCATCTCTTCTTTCCTGTGAGTTACTAGATTGCTCACTGAGGGCTGTCACCAACTCTCCACCAGTGGCCCACTACCACCAGTGTCCACTTCCTGGTTTTCCTGCTCCTTACTTACTGCTCTCATTCCTTTACCAGACCTGCCTTGATTGTACCAGTGACGTGAGCAGGTGCAGTGGTGGACAGACCCGCCCTGCCCTCGTGACTCCATCTGTGAGCCCAGCCGTGCCCCGTAGCTTCCAGTCCTGCACACGTGTCCCATTCCATCACACTCTTTGTGTGTGCTGTGCCCTCTTCCTGTGGTTTTGTTCTTTTCCATTCTCCCTCTTCTTTCACTTGACTCTTGTATGCTTCACTTACACGTTCATACATTTATCAATTAGACCTGACAGCCAGGTGGAATCAGCCGTTTTGTCCTCACACGTATAAATATTTGTGCTTATTTTGTAGAGTTGTTCTGTAATGGATGTAACTCTCTTGGATGAATATGGGAAACCCTTTTGGTGTTTCAGCTCCCCGGTGTGCATGCGATCTTCTCCCAACCCTTCTGACGGTCCTTATTTCGTGGGACCGACGTACTGTGTTGACTACGAAGACTCGACAGGAACGGTGCACGTGGAGCTGGTATGGATCGAGGAAACAGAAGAATACTTCATTGTCAGCCTGGTCCTCTACCTCAGCATAGCAAAAATAAACCACTGGTTCGGGACACAATACTAAATATTAGCAGTAGGTGGGAAATTGTTGCTATAGTTTATTTTGGACTAACCAGATTTATTCTTGGTATTAAAAGTAAAAATAAAACAGTAGTCCATTTGATGCCTTCTTATTTCACATTTGAAATTATGATTCATAGGTCATTTTAAAGTTAATGTTTAGAGGATTTAAGTTAAAATTTGACAGACTGAAAATAGCACATTTTGATGAAAAAGTCATCTAAAATAAAGAGAAAAGATATTTAGTTCGCTTCTGCCCTTATAATTTAATAAAAACAAGTAATTCTACTTAAGCATGTGATGTGTGTGTGTGTGTGTGTGTGTGCATACATTTTTTTCTTTATTGGTTATACCCCATATGAGAAAACATATTTAAGTGGGAATTCCATGGTATTACAATTAGAAAGTGCTGTACTTATGGCATTCCGCAGCCACAATAGTACTTTAGTAAAACAAAGTAAACCAGACAGATAGCCTACTTCACAGGGAAAGAAATATCTGAAATGCTATCACTTGAAAGAGTCAAGTGGTACAAATGCAGTCTGACATCAGTGGGGACGGAGTTGGACGCATGAGCCTGTGAACACTTCCTCTGCAGAGATGTTTTAAGAGAGTTGCTGGATGCCGAGGTAACATATATGTAAGCAGATGGTTTTTAGGTATTTGGTTTCAAATTTGTTTTAGATTATACTGATTTTTTAAAATTATATTTTTATCTCCAACTTAAAGTTTTTCACAGAAGAGAGTTTTGAAATGCTGTGTTGCTCCTGCTGGGCCAGGCATGCTTACATTCCCCTCCTGTCTACTTTTCATTCTTCTCATACCGAATGATCAGTTTTCCTTTTGGGGGGGTGTAGGATAGGGAAGTAGAATAAAGAGCTTGAAGACAGCACTAGGAGATTCCTGCTGCAGACTCGGTCCCCACCCCACCTCCCTGACCTCCCATGGTGTCACCAAAGAGCAGGCATAGAGCACCTGCCCCATCCAGTGAGAGTGGGGAGATGGAGAGGCAGTGTGGCGAGAGAGAGAGAGTGTGGCTGGAGTGGTAAGCTGAGACAAGATCCGGGAGGCAGTTGGCAGAAGCCATGTTTCACATGCAGGACTGAAGTGAAAGACAACCATGAAACAATGTGGTGACACCTTGACCTCACTGGGTTACCTGGTGGTGGGGCCAGGTGTCCTGGCAGTACTGGAAGCAAGGAGGAGTGCCATTCTCTCCACCCCCACTCTGGTAGTATTTGGAGAGAATGAGAAGCCTAGTGCCTCTGTGATGGCGATATGGGGAAACGTGGGCTGGGCTTACTGATAACATGTCCACATGGAATGGAGCATGTGCTTAGCATCTGTCTTCCCACCAGCCTGTGAGACCTCTGAGCAGGACTGTGAGTGTTATCTCCAGGACCTAACAGGACACCAGGCTCATAACCCACACACAATAGCTATTTGTTAAGTTGGTGGAAACTACTATATGGAATATAGCAGCTGGAGTGGGAAGATGAAGGAAGGTTCTAAATGAACATTGAAGGAAGGGTATTGGGCAGAGTGGGGAGGAGGAGTGAGGCAGAGGAAGGGCATTCACAGTCCTGGCGTTTGTCTCTCTCAGCAGAGCACTGTGCACTCCAAATATCACCAAATGATCCAGGTCTGAGACTGTGTTAATCTTTTTAATGCTGTGTCTTCTCAATTTTCCTCCATATTTCCAAATAATATCCTTCTGTGGCTGTTTCCTGACTCACCAAGTCTAGACATGTATTGACTTGAGGTAGAGAAACTCTTTGTACTGGCCAGGCAGTAAGGAGAGCTCGTGTGTGTGTGTGTGTGTGTGTGTGTGCGCGCCTATTTGTGTATGTGGTTCATAGAAAATGCACCGGGGAGAAGGGAAAGAAATACATAAATGTTTTGAGAGAAGAGAAAATATGATAAAATTGGCAATATTGTCTAATGTCCTCACCAAATATTTTATTTACCTACATGGTGTTGATTTATAAATCTCACTCTTATTCTTACTTTTTTCCCCCTCCACTTTTTTCTGGTCATCTATTCACACTGCTGAATATATCCCTAGTTTGTTGCTTTTAACTAGAATGTCATGGTCCACAGTATGCATTTCCCCCTATATTTCTTATTCATTCCACTAGTTATAGACAGCACATTAATGATCTCTGGCTACATAAATACCCACCCCCCCAAAAAGCTTGTGCCTTCAAACAGCTATTTTACTGCTCCTGATTCTGTGGCACAGCTGTTGGGGAACCAAACAGTGGCCTCACATTCTTGGTGTGACCAAGGTTATTGGCTGGATGACTTCAGACAGTCTCACCACCATCCTGGATCACCTCCAGGCTGCCAGTCCCAGAATCTAGCAGGACTCCAAACCCTGATGCTACTTAGGGCATTGGGGATCCTATTGTCAGGAAGTATTGTCATTGTGTAGCAGAACCACGAGAGCCAAAAACTTAGACTTTTCTGTAAAAAAGAACTTCAAAATTAACTTATCTTTGTTGTTGAAATGGCTCATAATTACACCCAGCACCCACTTTTCTAAATTGTCACCAAAATGGTCACTTTTGGTAAAAAGAAATTTTCCTCACTTTCAGAACTTCTGTGGTGACTGCTTATCACCAAATTTCACAAGGAGTGATGCATGTATCTGCATAAGACTTACTATAAACACAGTATCTGCAGTTGAAGTAGAAAAAATATGAGAAAGTTTGGGCTGCTTCATTTTTACTTGCTGGGCCAGTTGTTTATTCACCAGACTCATCCATTCAGCAAACATTTATTGAACACTGTTTTGTACTGGAATACAGGAAAAACACAGTTGAATAAAACAATTTGTTCTCCTGAGGAAATAATAATCCAGATGAAAGACGGACATGTTCCTAAAAAAATGATCATGCAAGGCAGAGCCAGAGAAAAGCCGTAAGGGAGTTTTGGACCAAGCACTTATAAGACTTAGAGGAGCAGACATTTTCATCTAGATGGGAAGGATGAAACTGATGCTTATTAAGCAGATAACATGTACCAAAGACCCACTATCCATGTCATCTGGGTCTTAAAAGGTGGACTCTGCTGATGGGTGGGTACAAAGGTCAGAGGAAGTAAGAAGGAACTGCTTGGGGAGTGGAGTGAGCAAAATCATGGGTTGAGGGGAGATGTAGCATGTCCACGAACCAGAAAGTGGGCAGGCATATCCAGAGAGTAACAGGAAGGGAAGGTGTAGATAGATTCAGACCACACTCCAGAGGGCCTTGGATGCCAATACATTGTTTGCACATACTTTGTAGGAAAAGTGAACACAGATTTTTAAGCACAAGAATGATGTCATCATAATTCTGTTTTAGGAAAGTTAACTTGAATGAATGCAGTGTTTGCTTAAAGCTCCTTCCTGAAGTGGGAAAAATGGAAAATGAACTAAGAAGATACTGGATAAACACAAAAATGGAGGGATCTCCTACTGGGGAGGTTGGTACAATTTCACGTAGCCCCTGTCCCCGGGATGACCCTAGGCTGCTTTCTCCCTGTTCACATCAGTAGTGACCATCTTGTTTATGTGTTTACTTGTTTAAAGTCCCCCCTCCCATTGGAATAGGGGATCAGGGACCTCGGCTTCATCATTTGTCCTCAGTGCCAAGAACAAGGCTGCACACACATGCAACCGTTAATTATATTTTGAATGAATCAAGATTAATGAGAAACAGAAGTTAGAAATACTTAAATCCTAGTTTGATTTTTTCCAGTAGAAATGGATTTTGGGACTGATATGGAGAACTACCTAATCTCTGTATAGATTTACATGGTTTTCAAAGTGCTTACACATTTTTTATTTATACCCCCTGACAGCCACAAAAGCCAGTCTGAAAGGTGGTTGTGCATTTATCTGATGTTTATTGAGCACTTACTCTGGCCAGATGTTGTGCTTACAAAGACACATTTGAGACAATTCCTGCAACTCTAGGTCTCATAGTCTGATGTAGACAACCCATATCCACAGAGAATCATAATACAATGTCTGTAGTAGGGTTTCCTGGAGAAACAGAACCAATAGCATGTGCATTTATATATATATATATAGAAAGAGATTTATGATAAGGAATTGGCTCACATGATTATGGAGGCTGAGATGTCCCAAAATCTGTGATTGGCAAGTGTGAGCTGATGATGTGGTGCTGGTCCAGATCCAATAGGCTCAAGACCAAGGAAAGGCTCATGTTTCAGTTTGAGTTTGAAGGCATGAAAGACATGTCCAACTAGAAGGCAGTCAGGTGTGTGTGTGTGTGTGTGGGTGGTTTTTGTTCTTTTCAGACCTTTAACTGATTGGACAAGGCCCACCCCCTTGGGCAGGGCAATCTGCTTTACTGAATGCACTGATTCAAATGTCCATCTCACCTAGAAACACCCTCCCAGACACACCCAGAATCCTGTTGGACCAATTGCCTTTGCACTCTGTGGCCCAGACGAGTTGACACATGAAAGTAGGTGTCGAAATGTCTGTTGTTACTGTAGAGCTATAACGAAGTTCTATTCAACCAACTCCATCTTGGGCAATTAGAGAAGGCTTTGTGAAGGAGGTCCCATAGAAACAGTTGATCCATACTACTATCATCTCTATTACTTTAAAGGAGAAAATAGACACTTGGGGATTAAGTAATTTCCCATCACACACAGACAGGAAGTGATAAAGCCAGGAGCTGAGCCCACATCTTCTGGTTTCAAATTTTGTACTTTTGCATTATCCAGAATAAGCAATTCTAAGAAAGAATTTTATTTTAAGATCTTGAAAGAACATCCAATTTTTAAAAAAGAATGTGATTCAGGCCTTAGTTCAGTTTCACCCTAAGCTGCCAAGGGCCTTGTGAGGTCACATAGAGTCAGGAGAGGGGAGGCCTCCCTCTGCTGCCCCTGGGCCTGTCAGCACTATATCCGTGGTAGAAGGAGCAATGGTGGTGGCCTTTGGCTTTGCTCCCTGGGTTTCACAGTTCTGTTGGCTTTGAGGTAAATGAGAACCTATGGCGATGACATAACCCTCTCACATAGCTCATGGTAGAAGGAAGTGCACCTTGGGGATGTTGGGCCATGTCCTGTGCACTCTGTTGCTAAGAAGCTCATTTCTCATGTGCATCTGCTTTATGTCAGTTGTAGACTGGTTTCCCCACAGGCTGTTTAGCTCTTGCCCCCCTCATAACATGGGCAAG